GGCTCCCCAAGCTAAGTCACAGAAAGTGTTAAGCAGGGATTCCCTGTTCGCAACCAGCAGCCATGTTGTGAGAATCCTCAAGCAGTCCCACAGAGCCCACCCTTGGCCCTCCCACGGCTGGTGGTTGTCTTGGCCCTTGGTAAGAGGGGGCCACCTTGGAAGTGGCTTCTCCAACACCAGTGAAGCTTCAGAAGACAGTGGGCCTGTATGCAGCCTCAGAACCGTGACCCTGACCTACCCCGAACTGCTCTTCAGTGTAAGCACAGAACTGGAGAAAAATGACTGTCAAACAATTAACTTGTGGGGTGACTTGAGAGGCAGCAGGAAAACTCAAGGGACATTCTGTTAGTATTCTATCAATGTTAATTCCTTACTTTGATAATTATACTGGGATTACAGAAGTAAATGTTCTTGTTTTTAGGAAAGACATACAAAAGCATTTAGGCGTGAAGGGATTTGATGATGCAACTTCCAAGTGGTTCAGAAAAAAAAATTTGGGCCCAGCTACCTACAAGAGAATGAATGAGCCAGGTGCCGTGGCTCACGCCTGTAATCCCAGCACTTTGGGAGGCCGAGGCAGGCGGATCACAAGGTCAGGAGTTTGAGACCAGCCTGACCAACATGGTGAAACCCCATCTCTACTAAAAACACAAAACTGAGCCAGGTGTGGAGGCGCGTGCCAGTAATCCCAGCTACTCAGGAGGCTGAGGCAGAAGAATCACTTGATCCCGGGAGGTGAGTGAGCCGAGACCACACCACTGCACTCCAGCCTGGGCAACAGAGTGAGACTCTGCCTCAAAAAAAAATAAGAGAATGAATGAACCTGACCTGGCCCTTCGGATGCCTGCCACAGCGGGGAGAGAGGGAGGGTGCTGGCATCTTCTGGCTCACTCCTATACACTCTATTCAACCCTAAAGGGATGCAGGTGCCTGGATAATTTGGACACCCACTGACACCAAGCCCATCAGTGCAGTTCCTGATACTGAAGCCCCTGAGCGCGGTGAATGACAGGACCTTCCCTCCTTCCATTCTCCAGCTCTCCCTCCCTCCCTGCCAATGAGGGGAGTGCGACAGGGAGCTGAGGCAGTCACCTGACCAAGCTGAAGGAAACCAACCTCCCCTAAAGTTAAGGTAAATCTTGGCACGTTTACGCTAAGGCCTAGGCAATTTTTTACGAAGGAGGCAAAGGTGATTCGAATCAGTTTGCTTAATTATTTTTGTAAAAGAATAGTATGTTTTAGATTTTTATAGAATGAGTTCTGAATTATGAATGCTTTCAAAAAATCTATTTTGAAACAATTATACACTTACAGAAAAGTTACAAGAACACACTTCACCCGCATAATCCCCTCCAAGTTCTCCAGTAGCTAACATTCCACCTCCTGGGCTTTCTGTCTCTCTGAGGCTGGAGAGAATGAATCTTTCTTCCTAAATCATAGAGCTCAGAAGCCTTCTTTAAAAGGTAAATAAAAGGTATAGACCTCAGTATACCACCAAAGCTTTTTTTTTGAGATGGAGGCTGGTTCTTTTGCCCAGGCTCGAGTGCAGTGATGCAATCTCAACTCACTGCAACCTCCCCGCACTGGGTTCAAGCAATTCTCCTGCCTCAGCCTCCCCAGGAGCTGGGTTTACAGGCGACTGCCACTATGCCTGGCTAATTTTTGTATTTTTAGCAGAGACAGGGTTTTCGCCATGTTGGCCAGGCTGGTCCCGAACTCCTGACCTCAGATGATCCACCCGCCTCGGCCTCCCCAAGTGCTGGGATGACAGGCGTGAGCCACCATGCCCGGCCAAGCTGGTCTTTCAAAATAAACATTCACTGTTACTCTAAACAAAATATAAAAAATACATTTTATTTACACATTTCAATACTTTAAAGTTTGTTCCTTACACCTCTAAAAATGAGACTCCCTAAGACAGCTGTTTAGTCATTCCATACATTAGCAGTTCTCAACCTGCACTGCAAAGTCCACAAGTTCATACATAACACTGAGCACTAAGCATCCTGCAGTATTTTAAGTGTATTTTCAATTGCACTGTAATACATTTCCAAAAAACCCTATATATTTAAAAGCAATTCTGAATTCGTAGCTTTTAGTCAAGATGTACTTATTTACCATTTAAACTAAACTATAATTACTATCTAACAGCCCATATATATTGGTTTTTTTTGTTTGTTTTTTGAGACAGTTTCACTCTTGTTACCCAGGCTGGAGCGCAGTGAGCAGAGATCTCACTGCAACCTCCGCCTCCCAGGTTTAAGTGATTCTCCTGCCTCAGCCACCCGAGTAGCTGGGATTACAGGTGCCTGCCACCATGCCCAGCTAATTTTTATATTTTTAGTAGAGATGGGGTTTTGCCATGTTGGCCAGGCTGGTCTCGAACTCCTGATCTCAAGTGATCTGCCCGCCTGAACCTCCCAAAGTGCTGGGATTACAGGCGCGAGCCACCGTGCCCGGCCCCATATGTTGTTAAAATGTACAGACTTACAGGCAATCTGCCATATACTAAATGCAAACCATAGCTGATAGTAATGAAATCAGGCGGCGCCACTGTCGTGACATTTTTCCCAATCCTAGTAGCTGCACCCATAATTAATTCCTACTCACATCACTTACGTTAGTGCTACTCAAATGCGGGCCATTCACAGGCGGCCAGGGATCCTCTTGGTCTGTGAGGTCGGGGGCTTGCATCAGAAAGCAAATCAACAGTGGTGTAAAGCACAATTTAGTTCAACTGACATTTTTTTCTTCATAGTAAGACCTTCTTGAGGAAGGAAGCAGTGTGTTGATTTTTCCTTAGCCCAAGCTCCTTATTTCACCATCAAGCTACACGTCCAGTAGAACTGATCTGTTATATCCCAATCACCGCCCAGCAAAGGCACTCTTGTTAAAAAGCTCCTTAACAAAGGGAAGATTTTCACTTAATTCACTCTTCTCTCAGTACCTGTCACCTTATTTGTCCTCTAAATTCAGAACCCGCCAGAAGACACAGGGTTTGGATCTGGCCTCAGGTCGAATGATGTTGCTGAAAGCAGGGTTAGGAAGTCTGTAGGGACAACACAGTCTCTGCGCTGCTTCGAGTTACTTTCTGTATTCAGCTGTTCATGCTGCTTGCACATGCTTCAAAGCTTAAACCATTAGTTTAGGGATATGCACAGACACTGATGGCTTCACATCACGATTTCCAAACACAAACCACTACAGGGCACGGATAAATAAAATTTGAGGCCAGGCACGGAGGCTCACACCTATAATCCCTGTGTTTGGGAGGCCAAGGCAAGAGGATCACTTGAGGCCAGGAGTTCAAGCCCAGCCTGTATAACACAGGGAGAACTTGTCTCTACTGCTTGTGGTCCTAGCTATCCGTGAGGCTGAGGCAAAAGGATTGCTTCAGTCCAGGAATTTGCTACAGTAACTATGATCATGCCACTGCACTTGGGCCTGGGTGACAGAGTGAGCCTGTCTCTCTCTTAAAAATACATACAGAATATCTGAAAGTGCCACAAAGTGGGTGTTTTGCGCAGGAGTGACATCACAGCACCTGTGCCCATCTGCCCAACAGGACCACTCTGAAGAGGACAGTGCTGCTGGACAGATGAGTTTATACAACTTCTCAATGTCGATTCTGTATTCACATCTTAGTGACTTTTTTCAACAATCAAAGGTAAAATTTAAATTGAGTCTGCAGCATTTGAGAAGGAAAAGCAAAACTGAAGCGCTGGGAAAACAATAAACATTTGGGTATCTGCAATACGTGCTGGTATCTAGGGACATTTCTGCTTCCTCCCGGAATCAGTTTTCCATACTTAGTGAGTGGGGTGTGTTTGTTTCTCTCACTGGATAAATGTTAATTCTTTGCAGGCAATAACTATATTTTCTTCATGTTTACATCTCCAAATCCTTGCAAGCAAGTAGCACCTATTAACAGTCAAATGACTACTGTTTGGTGACCTCAGAGTTGCTTAAGAACATTTACAGTTTGGAATTGGTGAGATGAATACCCTCAACTGTGTGGGAATGTCACACGAATGATGAAAAGCGCCTGTCTGCACTACAGTCTACATGAGGCCACATCCACAGGGCTTATGTCGACTGACTTTGCCAAAGTTCAACTGCATCCCAAATACTTAAAACAGTATCAAGAATCACATTTAAGCTGGGCGCAGTGGCTCATGCCTGTAATCCCAGCACTTTGGGAGGCCGAGGCGGGTGGATCACCTGAGGTCAGGAGTTCAAGAACAGCCTGGCCAACATGATGAAACCTCATCTCTACTAAAATACAAAAACTAGCCGGGCGTGGTGGCACACGCCTGTAGCCCCACCTATTAGGGAGGCTGAGGCAGGAGAATTGCTTGAACCCAGGAGACGGAGGGTGCAGTGAGTCAAGATTACACCACACTGCACTCCAGCCTGGGTGACAGAGCAAGACTCCGTCTTAAAAGAAGAATCACATTTAACTGATGGTTTTTGAACTTTTAACCAATTATTTTAAAAAGGTAAAAACCTCATCAATTTCTTCCTAACTGCACCCTCTAGTGGCCTATTTTATCTATTAATTTTTTTTTTTGACAGTCTCACTGTCCAGCCAAGGCTGGAGTACAGTGGTACAATCTTGGCTCAATGCAGCCTCTACCTCCAGGATTCAAGCAATTCTTGTGCCTCAGCCACCTCAGTAACTGTATCACCAGCATGTCCCATCATGCCTGGCTAATTTTTGTATTTTTAGTAGAGACAGGGTTTTGCCCAGGCTGGTTTCAAATTTCTGGCCTCAAGTGATCCACCCGCCTTGGCCTCGCGAAGTGCTGGGATTACAGGCGTGAGCCGTCATGCTCGGCCATACCTATTAAACGATTTTAAGACAATCACACATACCAGCCTCACTGCTTAGAGAACCCTGTCCAGTGTGCCTGAACCCCCTTTCCCTCCCTCCTTCTCCTCTCACCCCCAAGATACAGTTATTTGAAAACGGCTTGAAATACAAACAATAAAACCTTAGATCAAAAATTATCTCAAAATATAATACAATAATAGACAATGATATAGCTCTACCAAACGTTCACACGCAGGCAACAGAATAAAGCTTTGGGTTTACAAAGGACATTATAGTCAAAGGGCCACCTGCCTTCCTTCTTTCCCTGACTACATTCTCAGGGAAGCTCTTCCGTGCAGACACTTTGTCACAAGGTCAGCCCTCTCTCGCAGCACGTTGGCTTCATCGGTGCTTTTGTGGGCCTGTGCGTTCTTTAGCAAGAAGTGGCTGATGAAAAGCTTCAAACCCTCACGTAACATCCCCAGCTTTGGGTTGTCAGATACTCTGGAAAGGAATCGTATAAACACATGTCAGGGCTGGGCTGGCCTCTCCTAGATCTCAATCCTGGGTATCTCAAATAGTGAGACATAACCAGTTTCTTTTAAAAACAGAATTCTCAATTAAGAACTTAACATATTTTATTATTACCAATCATTGTTAGTTTGCTAGTAGACAAATTTCTATTCCCCAGATCTAATGCATACTAGCTTAAAAATAAAACTGAAAAGATTAAGCTACACATGTAGTACAACCTTGTGTTTCTAAATTAACACAAATGAAAACAACCTCTTTATTTCTCTTCCATGTCTCATCAGAAAGGGTGGGGTACATACCTTGTGAAAATTAAACTGAGGTCTTCAATTTCTGTTTCCATTAATAGGATACTTAATACTTCTCGTAAAAAGTGGACTCTGGGTTTGTCCAATTCACTGAATTCAACTACCTAATGGTCAGGACATAGAGAAAAATAGTTACACTGATTTAGCCAACCTTTTCAATGATTTGTAAATATAGTTAATTAGAGTAAAAATTAATCTCCCCCACTCCCCCACTCTACCACTGATTTAAGAAGCTATTTCCAGAGCTAAGAAATGAGCACCTGTTGGCAAGGATGTGGGCCTTGGGAATCCCTATACACTGCTGGCAGAGGTGTGGCCGGCCACAATCACCGTTGAGAACAACTCAGCAGTGTAAGTGGAATTCCCGGGGCATACACCTTGTGAATCAGAAATTCAGTATCTAGAACTGAACCATAAATTACCTCCATTCGCAAAAGTACCCATCCCCTAATTAAAACTATATATATAAAAAATTTACTTTTAGAAGACTAATATATGTATCTCTCTCTCCTAGAAAACTATCAAAAAATCAGAAATAACTTAAACACGGATCAGTGGGATAAATAAGTATGTAAACTGAGGCATACGTATACAGTAGGATGCTACCCAGAACAGACTCACGGGCGCCAGCATGGACCCACTTCAATCTTAGCTGAATGTCAGCGAGCTCGAGGAGGGGACTAAATGCATGGTGACGGGAAGGATACCCACAGGGAGGTCCGCAGCCAAACACCATCACAGGCGCTTGCAGACCCGGGGACACAGCGAGACCACAAAGCATGGCCGAAACACAGAGATACTGGGAATGAGAGCAGCCCGGGGGGCGGGGCGGGGCTGGGGCATCTCTAAAGCTCTACGCCAAAGGACGCACTCCTGCCACGTCTCTCCCACTCATCCACGGTAGCATCCATGCTGTTCCACAATGAGCACGATGCCTGAGTGAGCAAAAGGCAAGGCAGGGGAGCGGAGGGGGAGCAATGCCTCCGCCATGATCCAAGTTATTCCAGTTGTCAGGATTTGGCGTAAGGCTCGGGGCCCTCATTTTCAGTACAGTGGCCAAACTTGGACACTTGGACACAGCAAGGGACGCAGGGTGAACTGGAGCGGGCATGCTGATGAACTGCACAGGACACACAGAAACACACGGGAAGCTGAGGCTGCAGCTGTCTTGTGGGTCCAGGCCACTGCAGTCAACGCCCTCAACTCGCTCTGCTTTTCACTTCCCATTGCCCCCCAGGTGATCCAAAGTTTTTAGGCTATTCAGAGTCTGTTGGTCCTACCATCCAAGCCTTACTGGCCCACATCAAACCGCAACTTATAAGATGCCTAGGTTTCAGCCGGGCACAGTGGCTCACGCCTGTAATATTAGCACTTTGGGAGGCTGAGGAAGGCAGATCACAAGGTCAGGAGTTCCAGACCAGCCTGGCCAACACAGTGAAATCCCGTCTCTACTAAAAATACAAAAATTAGCTGGGTGCGGTGGCAGGCGCCTGTAGTCCCAGCTACTTGGGAGGCTGAGGCAGGAGAATCGCTTGAATCCGGGAGGTGGAGGTTGCAGTGAGCTGAGATCGTACCACTGCACTCCAGTCTGGGTGACAGAGCAAGACTCCATTTTGGGGAAAAAGAAAAAAGATGTCTATGTTTCATGGTTCACTGCAAAGTCCCAAACACAGCAGGGCAGGAGAAAGCCTAGTTTTAAAACAACTTACATCGAAGCGAGCAAACTCACCTCACCTCTAGGGACACCAGGCCCTACTTCGTCCACTCTTCTCCTCACTAACAGTGACTAGTTCAGGATTTTATAATTAGGACCAGCAAATTAACCTCAAACCCTAAAACAGATTCACTCAGCTTAGCAAAAGAACTGCAGCGGTGCCTTCATTTAGCAGGTCAATTTGTAGCGCCTGTTAGTCTGGCCATTTTCTGTGCTGGCTACGATAACGCAGGCACTTTCCAGATGCATCAGAATTGAGGAAAACGCGCTGGTGCAATAGGACCTGATGTAAACAATCACACTCCCATTTCCACTGCTTTCAATATGTTCACACGTTACACCAACCTTTAAGATGGAAAGGGAAAGAGATTTTGTCTTCAACAAGTGGGCCACCAGATGAACCAAATTAGAGAAATTTGTAGCTGGCAAGTTTTCCAAGTCCCGAAATTTGTCCCATATGCTGAACTGGAAAGTCATCTAGTATCATAGTTAAAAGGAGAAAAAAGGTAAATGGCCACAAATTATTATAATACATCACTAAGAACATAACCTAAAGGTATTTTATTATTATCTTATTTTGAATATTCTAAACATCAAGACTTTTAGTGGCGGCCTTACTGTCCTTTCCTATGGAGCATAGTCCCAAACAGCTTCACAAGAATCTCTTTCTGGTGCAGTTTTCCCCCCAAATCAGCAGATACCAACAGAACATTCTAAGGAAAAGGCCACAGCAAGTGACATCAGAAGAGACTGGTGCACTGTGAACCGGCGAGGTGCTCCTGCTGGCCTGGCCACACACTGCCTGCAACTGTGGCAGGAGCAGGCGACATGAGGACATGGTGGACCCTTGACATTCCCCTCTAGCCCTCCCACTTCCGCTCCCAGTGAACGTGGCCTGGCAGCCAGCATGGACCACGTGACTGGGATATCAGGGGCCTCCTGACGTGGGGAACTCCTTTGCAGGTGGGTTGAGCCAGGCAGCATGTGTAGAAAAAACAGTAGAGCAGATGTAACTGGTGCCTCCGCACTAAGCTACCTGAAATCTCCTTTCATATTCACAGAATTTGCTAGCCAGGAAAGCATAGAAGGGATTGTAGGTTTTCTCTTGAAGGCAGCAATCCATGAGAACGTGAATGATTTCTCTCTCCTGCTGATCCTTAAGTCCAAGCCTAGAAAACAGAGAACAGCAATGACTGGAACATCGCTCGACCTCCGAAGCTTAATGGCTGATACCTGTCAGGGGAACTCCTTCCCGCCTGGAAAGGTCTGGTGAGGGGCGAGCCAGGTGGACGCGGCGGCAGACACCAGCTACGGGCCCAGCCCCATCACAACCTCTCCGGTCCTCAGCTTATCCTACAATGTGACAAAATGTCAGAGGAGACAAGACCATCTAGGGTCCCCCGCCAGCTGCAAAAGTCGACAGCTGTGCCCGGCTGACAATAAACGGCCTCAATCGTGTGCGCCCTCAGAGCTGGTTCCTGCTACGGCAATGACTTCACAGTTTCTTTCTTTCTTTCTTTCTTTCTTTTTTTTTTTTTTGAGACAGTCTTGCTCTGTCACCCAGGCTGGAGTCCAAGTGGCGTGACCTCGGCTCACGACAACCTCCACCTCTCAGGTTCAAGCGATTCTTGTGCCTCAGCCTCCCGAGTAGCTAGGATTACAGATGCCACCACCGCCCTCAGCTAATTTTTGTATTTTTAGTAGAGATGGGGTTTTGCCATGTTGACCAGGCTGCTCTTGAACTCCTGACCTCAGGTGATCCACCCGCCTTGGCCTCCCAAAGTACTGGGATTACAGGTGTGAGCCAGGGCACCCGCCATCGTTTGTAAAACTTGAGTTAGAGCTCACACACAGTAAAACCTATCCTTTGCAGTGTAGAGTCCTGTGAGTGTGGATAAGCCCATATAGTCATGTCACCGCCGGCACTGCAGAAACAGAACTCTCCATCGCACGCGAAAACCTGGGGCCGTGAGTCCCCCTTGCCGTGGGCCACCGCTAATCTGCCGCGAGAACCTGGGCCCGTGCGCCCTCCTTGCCGTGGGCCACCGCCAATCTGCCGCGAGAACCTGGGGCTGTGAGCCACCCTTGCCGTGGGCCACCGCTAATCTGCCGCGAGAACCCGGGGCCGTGAGCCACCCTTGCCGTGGGCCACCGCTAATCTGCTTCTGTCCCTCTAGTTCTGCCTCTGCCTCTGTCACACAGATTCGAGGCAGGGTGGCGTCCTGCGCTGGCAGAATCCACTCGAGAGTCACCGTGCTGTTGGGGCCTTGGGAGTTTGCCCCTCGTGATGCTAAGTAGTAAGTATCCCTTAGACGGCGTCTCATGGTTTATCCTTTCCCCAACTGAGGGGCATGTGGGCTGCTTCCAGTTTCTGGTGAGATCCGAATACGGCTGAGGCTGCCGCCCCTGCACAGAGGCAGACACTCTGTACCTTAGGAGAGAAGCACCAACTCCACTGCAAACGGCACAGCCCCACAGACAGCACTCACGTGAAGGCGGTGCAGGCAGCCCAAAGAACCAACTGAGTTTTGGCTGCATTTATTATCAATTCATGTTGATTAAATGCTCAGATTTATAACTCATGATTTTGATGAATAACAGTGGGAAAAACTATTGTTTAATAAACGTAGTTTGAAAGGCCAAAAATTTCAAAACATGAAGTCCACCAGACGAGAAATAAAAGAAGTCCTTCTGAGTACAAAGGAGAAGCCAGACCCGCTGACTAGGGAGTAAGGGCTCTCCTCAAAAGAGCCCTTTTAGAGACAAAGGGTAACTAGCGAGACGGGATGTATTCAGCAAAACAGCAAGGCCACAGAGAGGCAGAGGAAGCTCAGGACTTCCACTTCAACTAGGCACCCCAGTTTAGAAAATAAAACCCTAATTATCAGAATCCTAAAACGAATCATGTTCTCCCTGTATTTCATCCTAGTTTGAAGCAAATAAAAGAATATGTATTAACATTACATTACTTAGAAGTATCTACACAGGTACATTTAAAATTTTTTTTAACGAGATGTGGTCTCAGTATGTTGCCCAAGCTGGTCTTGAACTCCTGGGCTAAAGTGATCCTCCTGTCTCAGCCTTCTAAGTAGCTGGGATTATAGGATCTTTAAAATCTTATTACAACTAATTATAGAAACTATACCAGGAAGTTTTAAATGAAGAATCAGAATAGCTTTATTATGAAGATTTATATATTTTTAAGCAATTCATGACAACCAACAGCCACTGACAAGGTTATCTGGTACTTTCAGTCAAAACTCCTCAATCTCCAGCCTGAGCAACACGGCAAGACCCTGTCTCAAAAAACCCCCAAACCCCCAATCTTTATATATCATTAAATGTTCCAATGAGGAACTACTAGAGGCAAATTAATAGGAACAAGATGACTAACCCAGGGATGCACGAATCCAACAGCGTGAGCGGATGGTCACAAGAATAGCGCCGTCCTCCCTAAGCAGCATCAGACTCAGTCACCCAAAACTCAAAAAGCAAATCAACTTACTTATTTTACAGCATCTCATTAATAGGTCAAAATGTGTACACAAATGCTTACTTCAGAAGCTTTTCAAAAGCATCCAAAAAATCTTCACTTGTCATTATTGTGCAGAATATGTTTCTCCGGATGTCCGTGTTCATCCTCTGCTTCCGGGCGAGTTCTAGGATCTTTGAGCTGACCTGGAAGCACGATGAATGGACAAGTCATACACATGTCTCCATGGAAACTGCTTCCTGAGAGATACCATACTGTACTTCAGTGTCACTGAATCCAACTGTGAGGTCTATGTGGGCAGATGAGCATCAGCACCAAGTTCACTCTCAGGCAACGCCCCTCTGTGCAAGGGGGACACACAGGGAAGCCACAGCTGCTCTCGGGAAATGCCCCTCTGTGCAAGGGGGACACACAGGGAAGCCACAGTCGCTGGCGGAGAAAACACTCATGGGGGAGGCTTCTCAGTTGCAGTTCAACCTCAGGGCAAGTGACGATGAATAAAGCAGAGAGCCAGTCACTGGCAGAGCCTGGGGAACCGTGACCACCACAAGTGACACAGAATCTGGGACAGGGAAGGACACGAGGGGGTAACGAGGGAAGTCTGGGTGAAAAATGGACTTGAATTTCCACAATGTGAAATCCATGGCCTGTGGCCTAGAATGCACAGCCCAGGCAGGGCAGCACGAGGGGTCTCAGCAATGGGCTCCTGCCCCGTGAGCGTTCGGGTCCTCATGCACTCCCCTGACCCATGTCACTCAACTTTCAGATCTTTTAAAGTCCAGTTAAAAGATACAACAGAAACAGAATAATTATATCACAATGTAATATTAATAGCAATTTCTATTAGGCCTCCAAATAAACCTTGTACATTTCAGTGACCATTCAAGAACAGTAAGAGAGCTGTTCCAGGTAAAGCTGTGACCACACACCACACGGGGGGGTGCCACTGCCTGGCAGCTTTGAGCATGGGCGTCCCTACCGTCCCCGCAAGCTGCTTCTGCAGGTGTGTATGGTGACTGTTGTCGATCATCGGGGCCCCACTCCAGGCAGACCCCACAATCCACCAGCGACCCGTCTGCTCCGCGTTCAAGATGCTGTCCCAGGAGACGCGAAGCTGAGTCTCAGAACCTGAGCCGGCGCTGCGGACCTGATTAAGAGAGAAGAGCTAATGAAACGCTTTTAATTGGTTCATATTCTGTACTTCCATCCCTGGTGGCTTTGTTTTTGACCATGACATTTCTGGTACATGAATACTGGAATACTGGATGATTCACTGGCAATTGGGATGATTAACCTGTTTGGAAAAATGCCAAAACTAGCAGTAAACTCAGTGTTTTGTGTTTGGGAGTCCAGCACCCCAAATGCGTTGCTTGGAAAGCTGCCCCAACAGGCGAAAGTGACAGAGCTGCCTCAGGCTCAGTGGCAGGGCAGCACACGCCTGAAGAGCCTGGGTCAAGGACGATGTGGACTTGAGATGACAGGGGCTGAAAGACTCACTCCGGCAGGGAGCTGCTCGGTCTCCATCCTGGCCGCATGTCAGAGACGGTCCAAGGACCTGCGTCATCCGATTTCCTTGATCCAGGTGGGGACCCGGCCTTCTCTTAAAGCATCGGATGATCCAATGACGCAGCCCAAGTTCAGCACCCGGGGCGAGGCAAAGAGGACGCTCGCCCAACATGGGCTTCCCCACGCACGGACACTCTGCACGAGCGTGCCCAGACCACTGGGAGAGCCCCCGAGGAAAACCGAGCAGCCTTCCCTCTGCCTCTGAGCACGCTCTCACTCACCAGACACCGCCCTGACTTGCAGGTCTGGCTATTTCTTGATTTTCACGGCAGGTTCATGCTGACAGGGAAGCTCTGAGCAAAGCAGAACTGAAAGTTCCTTGACTTACCAAAGCTCTCTGCAGTTTCCTCAGCTTCTCCACAGGCTCGGGGTCATAGCCTGGAATTTTGCGCATGTCATTGTTCTTCAGGGCCAACATCGTCTCTAGCATGAACCGAATCTTCAAGAAAAATGAAAAAATTGAAAGTCCATCATTTCAAACAGTCTAAACGGCCCATTCAAGTTGGCAAGAAATCGACCACACCTGATGCACATGGCCGCCACGGCCACGATACAAAGTCAATCGACCACACCTGATGCGCATGGCCGCCACTGCCACGATACAAAGTCAATCGACCACAAAGTCAATCGACCACACCTGATGCACATGGCCGCCACGGCCACGATACAAAGTCAATCGACCACACCTGATGCGCATGGCCGCCACTGCCACGATACAAAGTCAATCGACCACAAAGTCAATCGACCACACCTGATGCGCATGGCCGCCACTGCCACGATATAAAGTCAGGACGGCCGTTAGGCAGAGACGGTCTAAACTAGTCTCAGCTGCTTACTCAGGGCTACACAATACCTCAAAACAGAAATGTGTCCCCCAACGTCAAGTGGGAACCCAAACTCCCCAGAGATCTCACTTTTCCCTTCTGCTCGCCACACACCTCGCCCTTCCGCACCGTCCACACCTCCTCGGCTGCCCCGGCCCCTACTGCACTCCTGCTCCCACCCTGGCCTCCAGTGACCTGCTCTGGACATCTTCTCTCCTACCACTGGCCTTGTAATTTTTTAAACTTTAAAACTGGAAGTAATGTCATACTTACAGAAAAGTTGCAAGAACAGCACAAAGAATTCCCACATACCCTCTGAGATGTCCCCAAATGTCAACTTCTTATTGATACAAATTCATATACCATAAAACTCACTCATGTAAGGTATATAATTAGGTGGCTTTTAGTACATTCTGTGCAACTATCACCACAATCAATTTCAGAACTTTCTCATCACCCCAGAAGAGAAACTCCAAGCCCATTAACCACCATTCCCCGTTTCCCCGACTCCCCAGCCAGCACCCCAGCTCCAGGTGGCCACTAATGTACTTTCTGTCTTATTCTCCATTTTAAACCACCATTTAACCTGCTGCTCCCATTCCCTTCTCCAGCCCCCTCCTCTTCAGATTGGCTTCTCCGGTGACCAGGATAAGCCAGTAAGGACCGCTGTCACAATTCAGCCCAAAACGCAAATCCCTTCCTCCTCTTGCTGGTCCTCAGCATCCCACACGGGCGTGAATTCTTCCTGGGGACACTAGGGGTCCCCGGCTCCTGGGACCACCCTCATTTCCTTCTCACCTGCCAGCTCTCCCTCCTCCCTGCAGCTAAACGTCAGTGCTCCTTAACCTGAAGGTCCTCTTCACAGCCTGCCCCGCCAGGCAAGTCCACCCACGTCCACGGCTCCCAGGACCCCCTCTACGAGAGCAGCCCGGAATCCCTTCAGCCCACTTTGTTCACAGCTAACCCAGTCTTTCCAAAACGGAGGTGCCTGTCCTTCTAAATCCTCACCTCCTCCTGCACGGTCCCCTGTGCCCCTGACAGGTGACCCTGAGCCCTCCTTCCCTTCACCCCAATCCACATGAGGTCTAGTCACTTCTGACGCCCATGTCCACACCTGCTGCCACGATCCCGACATTTGCCACCACCTACTCCCCAGCTCCTGCAAAACTCTTCCTGACTCCAACCACCTTGTACCTCTTTCTATCTTGGAGTCTAAGTGACCATCAGAAGGAAAACTCCAACCTGTCATTCAGCTGCTGGGACCCTTCTGAGGCCCCCAGGATAAATCCTTGATTCCCTGCAGTAATTAACAAGGGTCCAGAGACCTGGACTCTGCCTTTTTCTCTTGTGACAGCCCCTCCAGGCTCTTACACTAACCCTTTTCGGGTTCTTCCCCAAAGGGTTTCTCAGGAACACACAGTTCCACCCATCTCATCATCTGAACAGCACACAAGGTGGGAGCTGTAATCAGTTCCTGTCTTACAGAGGGGGAAACTGAGGCTAAGAAGACCCAGGTTACACTGCTGTCAAGTGGCAGAGCCTGCAGTCCAACCCAGGCTTACCCTAGAGTCCCAGGTCCTGTGGCCTCCTTGGTAAATATGTTTTGCATAAATGAATGTTACATAAATCAATTTTTAAATTCACAAAATATTTTCTGAGTTCTTAGTAAAGGAACAAGGTCCATTCACATATTAAAGCCAGAAAACGGGACGAGACAGAAGAAACAGAAATCACTAGGAAAGGAAGAGTGTAATATTTACCCCAGATACTGATTTCTAGGTTCTGGCCAGTTTGTGGGCTTTAGGGACTTAGGAAGCGTATCAAGTGTCGCACGCGTACCCTGGTCTGGTCCTGAAACTCGCTGCTTGCCCTGCTGGCTCTAGTCTGGGCTTCAGTGATCAGTTCTTTAAGTGATAAAGCATCATCTTTTCTCAATGAAAAACCCACGTTTTTCAGCATTAACAAGATCAGTTCAATATCTTTTTCGGTGAAAGTTCCAATCAGTTTTTTCAAAATGTCGAAGATGAGGAGAGACTGAACCACGTGGAAGTTGTACAAATGGGCGAGGATGGTGAACAGGTTGTCACACTCTTTCCCTTCGCTTCCATGTTTATAGACAGCATCGAACTTCCTCACCACCGCCTCCAGAAAGTGGGCACCAACCTGAAAGAACCGAACAGAAAAAAGATGATTATGTTATTCCTAGAAACCTTCCTTTCTCCTTCAACACACAGAACTGGCACTTTCTAAATTAACAAAGTGTCCACAAGGCAGGGCATTCCAACGAGGCATCCCTTAGCAACCCAGAGCAGCCAGCCAGAGCACCCCAGCCTGGATGCAAGGGCACCTTCCTCTTGTTAATATCAACAACAAACGGGCATTGTTTGGCCAGCAGCCGTTCTGACTCCTTGGGAAAAATAAAACTGTTAAAAATGATGTTAAAAATACATCTACATCTCTAAAAATGTTCCACTACTGGCCAGGTGCGGTGGTTCACGCCTGTAATCCCAGCAATTTGGGAGGCGGAGGTGGGTGGATCACGAGGTCAGAGATATTGAGACCATCCTAGCTAACATGGTGAAATTCCGTCTCTACTAAAAACACACACACAAAAAAAAATTAGCCAGGCGGGGTGGTGCACACCTGTAACCCCAGCACTTTGGGAAGCTGAGGTGGGTGGATCACGAGGTCAGGAGATCGAGACCAGCCTGGCTAACACAGTGAAACCCTGTCTCTACTAAAAATGCAAAAAAAAAAAAAAGAAAATTAGCAGTGCGTGGTGGCACATGCCTGTAATCCCAGTTACTCGATAGGCTGAGGCAAGAGAATCGCTTGAACCCAGGAGGCGGAGGTTGCAGTGAGCTGAGATCGCACCACTGCACTCCAGCCTGGGTGACGGAGTAAGACTCTGTGTCCAAAAAAAAAAAAAAAAAGTTCCACTACCTAACAATACTCATTTCTTAAAATATTTTTTGCAGATTTTTACCCCAAATTAATTTCTTACAAGGAAGCAATACAAGTGATTTCTAAAATAGAAAAACACAACACATTCTGAATATCAGAGTATATATCAGAGCCAAATAGACAGGTACTTAATAACCTCTGGAAGGGCCCCAGGTGCCACAGAGGAGAGCCCTACTTTCCCAGGGCTGAGTCTCTGGCACTAAGGTAGCCTGTGAATATACTCACTTGGCTCAGCCAGTGGTCTGAGGGGCACTGGGCCCTGAGGGGGACCAGCAGGTAAACCAGACACTGCCCTGTGGGGCGAAACTGGGGCCAGAAACTGCCGGGCCTGGTGGAGCTAAGCAAGGCCTAAGTGTTTTCCTTGTGCTGTTCTGGTACATTCTATCCCGAATTCCATAACTGTGGACTGAAAGATGAGAAGACCAGGAAGTGGGTCTGTGTGGTCTTCAGCAAGATACTGGACCCCTGTTTTTTCAGTGTGTAAAAAAGAGATAATAAAACTTGAAGGCAGAAACAGTAGTTTTCAATCTTGCCGGCAACACTATCGCGTCACCATTTTCTCTCAAATCTCAACTTAAGCTAGGATTGGAGGGAAAAGGTGGAAGCAGGGACATGGTGGTGACACAGAGTGGCCCCCACAGCCCAGCCAGGAGATGATGGCCTAAACGACGCAGCTGCGCTGGACCAGGGATGAAGGGGCTGGGCACCACAGTGACGCATGGTAGTGCGTGACACTGGCTGTGAAAGTTGAAGGGTCTGTGACTCCCAGGTTTCCGGTCTGGGTAACCAGGAACTACGTGAGGGACAGCAACCTAGCGGATCTGGACAAAACCAGCTCAGCGGTTATTAAGCTTCAGCAGGAGTCATCCAGACAGGGCTGGATGGAGATGTAAGGGTGTCAATGAAAATCGCAGGCAAGGCTGAGATCCACCAGACAGGCTTGAGTGTAATGGGGAAGTACACAGACATCATTGCTAGACTGCAAAAAAATCAATGCTAGAAGAATCCAGAGAAAGGCAACAGATTGGCAGAAGGCCACAGTGACTTACTGGAGGCTAGCTCTGATGGACTAGATATACACTTCAGTTCGTAAAGACCTGAGAAAACTGTAGTTTCCAATTTAAGCCCCTTCAATGAAGATAAACTGGAAGACACATTCTATTATGGCTACTAGGTTATATTCAAATATAATTTTTAAAAGTAAATTAGAATTCTGTAGACATCAATAAAAATTCAGGCATAAAACATATTCAAGTATGCTGTGGCTGTGGACACCTTTCAACACTGTCTTCTTGGCCTTTAACGCCTTCGCTTTGGCTTCGGCTTTAGGAAGGGCAGGAGCTTCCTTCTTCGCTTTCTGCGCCATCTTCAAGTATGTTTTCTTTTTTTTGAGACGGAGTCTCACTCTGTCACCCAGGCTGGAGTGCAGTGGCGCCATCTCGGCTCACCGCAAACTCTGCCTCCCAGGTTCACGCCATTCTCCTGCCTCAGCCTCCCAAGTAGCTGGGACTACAGGCGCCCGCCACCACGCCCGGTTAATTTTTTGCATTTTTAGTAGAGACAGGGTTTCACCATGTTAGCCAGGATGGTCTCGATCTCCTGACCTCATGATCCACCATCTTCGGCCTCCCAAAGTGCTGGGATTACGGGCGTGAGCCACCGCGCCCGGCCATATGTTTTCAATTATGTAAATTACATCAAAATTTCTCAAAATTCTAAATCTGAAGTTCCATTTAATGTCTTCAAATTAAATATAACAGCATAACATTTAAGAATATAAGTAAAATTCATGTTGGTAAAGTTATTCAAGCACACCCTTTACGTTAATTCCGACGTGGAAATTTTAACACGAATATACATAGACTGGGTTTTTGAGTTTTAAAGGACTTACAGAAGCAGTTCAGCAGCTGACACCAACGTCTTTAACACAGAATGTTTTTCTCAGTACAGCACTGAAGACAGCTGAATGGAGCCAATGCCGAAAGCTTATCACATGCTGGCAAAGTTTCCGTGGATGTCATTAACTAAAGTACCGTAACGACTTCCGCTCAGAACAAGTCATTTCACTGTCCTTCATGCAATTAGCAAAGGTTTAAATGAAAGTAGGCCCAATAATCTCATGTTTTCCAATCAAGTAAATTCCTGATGTGCTGTGGGTGGTCAGGGTCTATTGCTTTTCCTGTAACTCACTGATATACTGCCTGCACTAAGATCATTCTGACGATTAAGTCAGCTGAAGCACACCAGTATCCTCTAGGAGGACAGGGAGGCACCAAGAAGTCACAGAACGGCCCTGATTATGGTAATCACAGGGCCCAGGAATGGTACCCAGTGATTCCGTCACTTTGTAATGACAAGAAAACGGACTCCCATGTTCTCATACATGAAAATGAGGAGAGCTCTTAGAAATAAAAAATAAACAACAAAAGACGGTTCCCAAAGCAGCTGGTGCAGACTTTTTTTTTTTGAGATGGAGTCTCGCTCTGTCGCCCGGGCTAGAGTACAGTGGTGCGATCTCAGCTCACTGCAAGCTCTGCCTCCTCGGTACAAGCAATTCTGCTGCCTCAGCCTCCCGAGTAGCTGGGACTACAGGCTCCCCCCACCACACCCAGCTAATTTTTTCTTGTATTTTTAGAGACGGGGTTTCTCCGTGTTAGCCAGGATGGTCTCAATCTCCTGACCTCGTGATCCACCCGCCTCGGCCTCCCAAAGTGCTGGGATTACAGGCGTGAGCCACCGTGCCCAGCCCCAGCTGGTGCAGATTTTCGTATCTGAGATGACCCATGTAGCTGAGAAGAGTCCTGCACTCAGACGCTCAGCCTGTGCCCCTCTCTCTTGCCCTCAGCTTCCTAATGCCCCACACGCCTTTCAAAAAGCTGCCACCATGCGACTACTGCTAGACGTGGAAAAATGTGGATCAGAAAATTATCCAGCAACAGCAAAGAACTTTGCAGTGGTAGGAAAAGCCAGCCAAACGAAGAGCAGAATTTCAACACAAAAATCTCCTTCTGTACGTAAATAATGAGCCTTCAATGAGCGCTTACTGTGGGCCAGCTCTTTCCTATGCCTATTACGTTAACTAACTCACTGACCTTAACAACTGGACACAGGAAGACTCGGAGGCACAAGCTCATCTAAGTGACACAGACCATGCTGGTACAGCACGTTCTGTGCTCAGGCAGCGTCTCCACCCACCCCACACCACCTTCAGCACAGAAGCCCCAGTGACAAGAAGGCTAATTCATTTTGGCAAATCTGTGCATCTTAGAGCAAGCTTTGGAGAGCCCCACTTAGTAAGACTCTAGATAACTGTTAAGATTATAATTGAGAGAAAATAATATAAACATGAAGTGAATGTGACTAGCATTGCAGTAGAAAGCATGCTTGCCTAGGAGCCCAGAAAACAAGTTCTGTGTACTTTTAACAAGACGTGATCTCGGGAATTTCACATAGCACTTCAGCGGCTTTGCCTGCTGCACTGCAAAGCAGGCTTCAGTAAATGTCTGTCCTGATCTCACCGGGACACTTTGGGATCAAAGATGAAAAGGAGACAAAAGTATATAAACGTACACCAGGAAATTAGACTTTTAGGGATGCTGTGCTGCAATGGCCTATTTTTTGGAGTACAGCTGTCAGAAAGCAAAAAACTAAGAACCACCATCAAAAGAGACTGTATCATTTAAAGGTCCAAATGGGTTAAACACTGCATTTGCAGGTAAATACTGTATCGTGGGAAAACTAAGCCTCACTGACCCAACCATCCATTCGTTCACCTACCTCAAAACAAACTCCTTTAACTGGACTGACTTCCTTCAACACACCTGAAATCAGCTCCCTGGGGGGACTGCAATATTGACTGGGAGGATTATGACTTTCCTGTATTCAATTAAGATAGAACAGGCCCAGAAGAGGGCAGTGACTGTGGAACCTGGGCCATCACCAAGGAGCCTCCCTGACTTTAACCACCAGGGTCATGGACCAAGAAGAACATGAAAGGGATGTGGGGGTGGGGCGGACATTTACTTAGCACCTGTCAGGTGCCAGATGCTTTCTGTACACTGTTCAATTCAATCCCGACAAAAGCCCACTTCACTGATGAGAAAGGGCCACAACACAGAAAGGGCACCAGGCCTCCCTGAACATGTCCAGGTAGCTCCACGCCCCAGTGCTCTCACATCTCCCATCAATACCAACACCTCAGTAGTGAGACCACACCAACCATTATCTTCCAAACATCTGAAATAAATCAGTGTTAAGGGAGAAGTGCAAAGGAAATGAAGGCACATCTGAGACGTCAGTCCAGAAAAAAATTAACATAAAAGACATGCTAGGCTGGACAGAACAGGGCTGGGCATGGCAGCTCCCACCTGCAATCCCAGCACTTTGGGAGGCCAAGGCAGGAGGATCACTGGAGCCCAGGAATTTGACACCAGTCTGGGCAACAGAGTGAGACTCCACTTCTACCCCGGCCAAAAAAATTAGCCAGGCGTGGTGGTGTGCACCTGCAGTCCCAGCTACTCTAGAGGATAAGTGGGAGGATCACCTGAGCCTGCAGCTGTGATCATGCCATGGCACTCCAGCCTAGATGACAGACTGAGACCCTGTCACAAAAAAAAAAAAGAACGGACAGAACAAAAAAGCAAAGTTAAGCAAAATCAAGTACTTTCTGAATGCTGTTTACAATTACATGACATAGACAATGTAGTATTTATTCAGAACAAAAAGGAATTAACACAAGAACCACCCACAGCACACAATGATGCACTTATCAAGCCTATCATTAAAATAATCGCCATGAGACACTGGTGACAGCCTGGACAAAGGTACAACTGTACCTCGATTCCAACGGTGTGGTGAAGGACGCCGACCAAGAGAACATGCTCCATCATCAGTCTGCTGGGCATGGCGGAGGCGGTGACGCAGGCACCCATGAGGGCGGAGGTCAGGGTGTCATTCATGTCCTTCCTGCTGTGGGCCATGTACAGCTCCTCCAGCTGCCCACTGATGGAAGCCATGTTGGGTTCACTCAGCCTGCAGAGAATTGTAAAGACAGAGAGCAACAATGTTTCCCATTAGGAATTTTCAGTTCGATTTTAAAAAATTAAAGTTATCCATACCAACAATATATTCTATTTTTATGTATACTTTTGACCCCTTAACTATTCTTATATTGACCCAATAACCCAGCATATATTATTCATAACCACATAATATTCTGGAATCCCAAAACAATGTCATTCCTGTCTTCACAAGATGAAATGTGGCCACACGGAGGCATACCCTGGATTAAGTCTACAGAAACATACGTGAGGACACTCCCCTGAATATCGACCTGATATCCCCATAGGCAGGGTCCAGACTTAGCATGTGCTGTTAGAAAAAATGCTAACTTTTTATTTCTTAGGTGGCACAGAAATCCTTAGTTCCTAACACTAGAAAAGGCTGCTCTGTTTGAACGGGTAGCAGGGGAGACTACATACACATGTACGTGGAAGGTTATTCACTGTGCACCTGTGCTAATACAGAACTCAACATTAAAACAGAGGTTTACAGTAAATTCCCAAGATAATAGGAAACAAAAAGCAATACAAGGGGGTGGGTGAGGTCACGGAGGGGCAGCAGGAGAGAGATGGTGGTGAGTTTTATCTCGATTGCAGTGGTGGTAACTCGAATCTTCATGTGATAAAACTACACAGACCTGCCTGGGTGCGGTGACTCACACCTGTAATCCCAGCACTTTGGGAGGCCAGGGCAGGTGGATCACCTGAGGTCGGGAGTTTGAGACCAGCCTGACATACATGGAGAAACCCCATCTCTACTAAAAATACAAAACTAGCTGGCGTGGCGGTGTATGCCTGTAATCCCAGCTACTCGGGAGGCTGAGGCAAGAGAATCGCTTGAACCCGGGAGGTGGAGGTTGCAGTGAGCCAAGATTGCGCCATTGCACTCCACCTAGTGCAACAAGAGCAAAAACTCCATCTCAAAAAAAATCACACGTATACACCCTCAAAACCAAAGAGCTGATGGGCACGCGTAACTGACAAAACCCCACCGGTATGGTTTCCAATCAGTTTTTTAAATGTTCTGTTCTTAAACTGTGTAACAAAAAAATGCAGACATGAGCAATGAGTAAGGGGGATGGAAGAGCAGGTGAACGTGTTCCTGCAGAGGGAAAACAGACCAGTCCTTCCAACACTGTCCTTAGACGCACAATAACCTCTGCCCTATTCCTTCCTGCTTCTCAGAATAACAATGTGGGCATTGGGGCTGCTCTCAAACCCTGAAGGGATTCAAAGTATCCAACAGTTGGGTATCCTCTCCTTCTCCAGGTATGGGTCTGGGTGTATCAAGAACAGAAAGGATCCAATCGACTGTCCTCATCACTTCTATTTGAATTGCTAGGATAACTCCTACATTTTTAGAAAACAGACAACCTCTTTAAGTGATACAGTGTAACAATACTGCAAGGTCACCTGTTAAGTAAACCTTTTACATGTTTCTTCAGCCTTTCTAGTTCTTCCTTTTTCTTGAAGTCCACTGTCTCCTCAGCTCGCCTCACATGAGGTGGGATGTACTTTTCACCACTTTCACAAAGACTCCGCTTGAAAAGAGAAATAAATTACAAAAAATTTACACTGACCAAATCCTGTTTCTTTTCTTTGCCATATGTGCATTTAAATATTAAATTCCCAAGAACTGGTGGAAGCTGCTACTGATCATTGCTGCCTAAATATATCAGATTTATTGAGTGCTTAGTATATGGGTAAACATTCCACTCATCAGGCTGTGCATGTCATTATGTCCATTAATGCTATTAATAACACACTTCATCATCTCGTGTTCCCCTGCGCAGTTCTTCAGACCTCGCCGTGCACCTCTGGTACCTGCTCACCTCCAGCAGAGCCCTATCTACTGCGTTTTCGCTCGGCCTTAATTTACTACAGGCACAGTAGCATACAAACACCTAAATTAAACATACCACTAGTTTTGGAGGAAAAGTGTCCTAAAAATAATTTCAAACTTGTTTAAAAGTAGTATCTAAGTTTATATGATAAAAATCAAAACCGGCTGGACGCTGTGGCTTACATCTGTAATCCCAGCACTTTGGAAGGCTGAGGCGCGCGGATCACGAGGTCAGGAGATCGAGATCATCCTGGCTAACACGGTGAAACCCCTTCTCTACTAAAAATACAAAAAATTAGCCGGGCATGGTGGTGGGCGCCTGTAGTCCCAGCTACTTGGGAAGCTGAGGCAGGAGAATGGCCTGAACCCGGGAGGCGGAGCTTGCAGTGAGCCGAGATTGCACCACTGCATTCCAGCCTAGGAGACAGTGCCAGACTCAGTCTCAAAAAAAAAAAAACAAAAAAAACCCAGCTCACTATTTCCTAAATTATGAAGGGGAGTGGTGGTGTTTGTAAATTATTAAGGACACAAACATTTGTAAGGCACGATCCCCACTGCTAGAGAGTTTAAACCTGGTTCAACAAAGAATATGTGTATACATAAAAGCTGAATATTTATATACATAGAACTAGTGCGATGTCGGGAGAAGGAAACGCAGGCAATTCCATACAGCTGCCTCCAACCATGAGCTACATGCAAAAGAACGCTGAGATAAAATATGCAAGAGGACAGCCCATGAAAGCCTTGATTGCTACATCCTGGATTCTGAACTTTTTTTTTCTTTGAAACAGAGTCTGGCTCTGTTGCCCAGGCTGGAGTGCAGTGGCGCGATCTCGGCTCACTGTAACCTCTGCCCCCCTGGTTTAAGCCTCAGCCTCCCAAGTAGCTGGGATTACAGGCGCCTGCCACCACGCCCGGCTATTTTTTGTATTTTTAGTAGAGACGGGGTTTCACCACGTTAGTCAGGCTGGTCTCAAACACCTGACCTCAAATGATCCGCCCGCCTCAGCCTCCCAAAGTGCTGGGATTACAGGCGTGAACTTTATCTTTAATTTAATGTTGTACTTTATCCAGGGGAGTGCTGTAACTTAGCTTTGGGTTTCAGAAAATTCACTCTAGAGGCCGGGCGCGGTGGCTCAAGCCTGTAATCCCAGCACTTTGGGAGGCCGAGACCGGCGGATCACGAGGTCAGGAGATTCAGACCATCCTGGCTAACCCGGTGAAACCCCGTCTCTACTAAAAAATATAAAAAACTAGCCGGGCGAGGTGGCGGGCGCCTGTAGTCCCAGCTACTCGGGAGGCTGAGGCAGGGAGGCTGAGATCGGCGCCCACTGCACTCCCAGCCCTGGGCGAACAGAGCGAGACTCCAGTCTCAAAAAAAAAAAAAAAGAAAATTCACTCTAGAAGTCGGGCACGGCAGATGTCCTCGGATACTTGAAAGAGGCCTGAACAGACGGGGTGCGGTTAACAGGTTTAGACCTGGGCCGGTAAACACAGAATGAAGACGCCGCACTGTGGAGACAGCCCTGAAGTCCCCGAGATAAAAATGTCTCTATATTGCTTTTTCCCTCAACTTTACATTATGAAAATTTAAAAACATGAAAGACCGAATAGAGTAACGTACTCGATTTACTCACATTCAGCTGAAACCATTATCAAGACACCAAGTCTGTGTCATTTCTGTCTCACGCCCTCCTCCCCGCCCCGTTATTCTGAAGGAAATCCCAGAGGGCCTAGAGAGTGTTCACACGATACCTGATCCGTTATGTCACCGTCCTCCGAGGAATTTTCACTCTTTTCTTCATCTTCTGCAAAACGGACTCTCTTCTCCCTCCTTTTCTCCTGCGTTCCCTTTTCCTTTTCTTCCCCCTGTTCCTGTTCTGTATCCTCGTCGTCGTCCTCGCTCTGCGCTTCTGCTTCTGCTTCCTGCGCCTTTTTTTCCTTTTCTACGTCTTCCTCCTCCTCTTCACTGTCGTCCTGGGAGTCACTCTCTAAGTCACTTTCGGGGAGTGTCTGTCCGGCATCTTCCTCCTCCTCCTCCTCCTCCCCACTGCTGTCGTACAAGCCGCTATTTTTCCCAGACTCCAAGGCTCCCAGAATATAGTCGAGCCCGTCGCGTGCAAAGCTCAGCGGCACGGAGCTGCTGCCGTCCTTCTTTTTGCGCTTGTTCAAGCCGAGGCAGCGCTCCAGCTTTCGGATCTCTCGGTCCTCCTCCTCGTTGGCCGCTAGAAGCGCCCGTTTTCGGGCAGCGGCGGTGGCGGCTGCGGAGGGTCTAGTCTTTGCGGTGGGCGCCGTGGCCTTGGCCTTGACCCGGGACGGCCGCGGCTCCTTGGGAGGCGAGGGGTCCCGACGAGGGGCTGGGCGGGCGCGCTCCTCCGTGTCCCGCCGGGGACCGCTCGCTTCTTCGGCTCCGCTTCGGCCTCCCGGGCCGGGACCCTCGTCGGGGCCCGCCGTCCTCTGCAGCCGGCGTGCTTTCCGAAGGTGCCGCTTCTCCTTCCTCAGTTCCTTGCGACTTTTTCTCCCTCCCGGGCGGAAGCGCACCGGGTCGCCGCGCCCCCCGCAACCCTCGGGAGCCTCGCCCTCCGAAGTCGCGTGCACGAACTCCTTCACCGCTAGTTTGAGTCTCTTCAGGGCCTTCTCCCCACCGCCGCCTGGACCGCGGCGCGGCCCGCGCCCCACTTTGCGCTTCATGCGGACCACACGTCCACGGGAGCCGCCCGGGCCGCCCTCTCCGGTGCTCCTGGACGCCGCCATTTTTCGAGACGCGTGGACGCACGACTTCCGGCCGAGGCGGGACTTCCGGGGACAGCGGCGGCTGCGAGGGGCGAGCGGGCGGCGCCCCCTGCTGGCCGGAGGGCGACAGCGAGCAGAGCTGCGCGGGGCGCCGGGCAGGTGGCGCCCGGGTCAGGCGCGCCCGCGGGTGGGCGTCGCGTGGACGTCAGGCTCGCGATGAGCATGGAGGTGCCTTCGTGTTTAAAAGGGAAACCTGGCCGGGCGCGGTGGCTCACGGTTGTAATCCCAGCACTTTGGGAGGCCTAGGCGGGTGGATCACCTGGGGTCAGGAGTTCGAGACCAGCCGGCCAGCCTGGTGAAACCCCGTCCGTACAAAAATTAGCTGAGCGTGGTGGCGGCGCCTGTAATTCCAGCTACTCGGAGGCTGAGGCAGGAGAATCGCTTGAACCCGGGAGGCGGAGGTTGCAGTGAGCCGAGATTGCGCCACTGCACCCCAGCCTGGGCGACAGAGAGAGACTCCAAAGGGAAATCCTCGTGGATGATGGAGGGAGGCTCCGCGCGGGCCGGAGCGGAGCCGGAGGTTGGCAGCGGCGGCGCTGGGATGCGCGGGCCCCCGGGTTCGTGTCCGCCCGGGACCCAGGAATGCGACCTTATTTGGAAATAAGGCCTTTGCAGATGTGGTCGAGACGAGGTTAGGGCTGGCCCCAGATCCAGCGTTCTCCTGAGAAGCAGGCTCTGGATACGGACCGGGGAGACGCCTGTGGGCCCCAGGCGGCCGAGGACCCCGGAGGAGCCGGCCCTGCCCAGGCTGGGTTTGGACGCTGGGCCCCCACCAGGCGCAGAGCGTTTGTGGTTCCTCGTTACCGGGTAACGTGAACCGGGAAGGGAACGCAGAGGCCGCGCGGTTTGAGTCTGAATTTTTGGGAGGCCCCCGCCCAGCAGTGAGTTGGGGGAAGACGGGGCTGCTGCTGTGGGGTTCTTGGCCTGACCAGGGGCCGCTTCTCTTCCCGGACAGCTTCAGAAGCTTCCTTTCCACAGAGTTCCCGCCCTTGACTTTAATTATTTAATTTAAAAAAAAATTTTTTTGAGACCGAGTCTCACTCTGTTGCCGAGGCTGCAGTGCAATGGCGCCACCAAAGTGCTGGGATTACACGGAATCCACCGCGCCGGGCCGTCCTTGACTTTCAAATGTTTTAATTTTTGCCAGCTTGTCAGCTCAAAATGGCGTCTTGTCATGTAGTTCCTGATGAGAGTGGCTGTCTTAGCTCACTGGCCATTTGTATTTACTCCTCTGTTTATGGCCTTTGTCCGTTTTCCTTATACGTTTTAGGAATTTTTTTAAATATAAAATTTAATATAAATGTAAAGTAGAGACAGGATCTCCCTGTGTTGTCCAGGCAGGTCTCAAACTCAAATCCCTAAGCTCAAATCCCAAAGCATTGGGATTACAGACATGAGTCACCACACCCCGCAAGGAATTCTTTACAAATAAAAAATTTTGAATAATCTTGTGTATCTCCTATGTGCAAATATTTTCCTCTCTCAAATATTTAAGGTACTTTAAAAAAAATAAGTAATTTTTAATAAGCATTATACTCTGTGTACAGAGTCCAAAATTCAAAAGGTGCAAAAAGATATAAATGAAAAGGTCAATTTCCATGCCGTGCCCATCCACAAGCCACCCAGTTCTCCTTCCATGAAGCAGCAATATCGTGTTCTCAAGTGATCTTCACAACAGATTCTATACTCAGTGAAGCGTAAGTGTGTGTGCTGTGTCTCATGAGCGTTAATTTACTAAACACTGTTCCACATCTTGCTTTTTTCATTTACCAATGTATCTTGTAGAGCATCCTGCAGCAGAGGGAGGGACCAATGGACCTTCCCTGCCATCATCATCTCTGCCTGGATTATTGCAAAGGCCTCTGTCTGGTCTCCCCACTTTCATCCCCTCAACCCTTCAGTATGCTCTCAGCATAGCAGCCACAGGCATGCTTTTAAAATATGACAATAGGACCGCGTGGCTGCCTGCCGGCTCACTCTCCAGGAATCCTGGCCTTCCTGCTGGATCTGCCCTCACCTCCTCATCTCCTGACCCTGTCTCCCCTCTCTCCCGGTGCTTCCCGCTGCTCCAGCGCGGGCACAGGCTCCGGGTCGTTTCTGAGCCCAGCCTTTGCTCAAATGTCTCAGCGAGTCCATCCTGACGGTGGCCCCGTTTGAGGCTGCAGCAGCCTCAAAATCCTGTTTCCTGTCATCCTGTTTCCTTGGCACTTCCCTCCCCGTTTGACTTACGTGTTTGTTGTCTCCTTCTCACCAGGGCACGACTTCTGGTCTGTGGATTTGTCCCCAGGGTTAGTGGCACTCGGTAAATAGACGTGAATGAATGGATGCTTTGTTATTTTTTATTGGCTGCAAAGTGAGTGATGGAGAGGCCATCCATCATTTAGTGACGCAGTCCCTGCTGATGGTTTTTATTTCCCACACATTCATACTAAAAAGATGCTACAATGAATAGCTTTCCACACACAGCATTTCATGTGAGAGTACAGTTTCAGGGATATATTCCTAGAAGTATGTGAATTCTGAAATTGATGATGTGTGTTTTGTAAATTTGATAAATATTGCTGAAGGACCATCCATGGAAGTCACACCAATGAATGAAAGTTATGAAACTTATCTTTGCCAATTTGACGGAAGAAAAAATCTCATTAAGTTGAATTTGCATGTTCCTTAGTAAAAGTGGAGCTGACCATCCTTCATATGCTTCTGAGCCATTTCCATTTCATTTCTGCAAAATTGCGATTCATATCCTTTGCCCATTTTTCTATGGTTTATGACAGTCTTTTCTTACAGAAGCTCTTTACATATTAAAGAAATTGGCTCCTGTTCATGACATGTTGCAAATATGTATTTTTCTCTAGTTGACTAGTTTTATTTTTGTTTTTTTGCCATGGACGATTAAAATGTTTTTTTGCATTGTTAGAATTATCAGTCTTTTATGACTTCTAAAGTTTTGTATTATACTTTGAAAGCCCTTCCCCACTCAAAGATTTTTTTTTTTAAAGTTTCCCCTTTCCTTTTAGAGATGAGGGTCTCTCGATGTTGCCCAGGCTGGAAAGTAGTGGCTCTTCACAGGCGGGATCATAGCTTACCATGGCCTCAAACTCCTGGGCTTGAGTGATCCTCCCACCTCAGCCTCCTGAGCAGCTGAGATTACAGGCGCCAGCCACCATGCCTGGCTCCTAAAATACTTAATCTTTGACCAATGTATTTTTTATTTTGATGTATAAAACAAGGTAAGACCAACCTATTTTTTTCCCCAGAAAATGTCAATGCCAGTACATTTTATTGAAAAATCTACCTTTTCTCCACCAATTTGAAACACCATCTTGATAATACAGCAAAGTTTTTAAAATGTGTTTGAACCTATCTCTGGGCTCTCTATTCTTTTTCCTAATCTTCCTGCATGTGTATGCCTCAGTGCTATACTGCTTCAACTATTATGGCTCTATAACATAGTTTAATATTAGTCTTCTCATTCCTTGTTACTCTTCATTTTTGTAATTGATTTATTTAGTGCTTTTGTTTTTTTTTTAAAAATAAACTTTAGGCCGGGCGTGGTGGCTCAAGCTCTAATCCCAGCACTTGGGAGGCCGAGACGGGCGGATCACAAGGTCAGGAGATCAAAGACCATCCTGGCTAACATGGTGAAACCCCGTCTCCTACTAAAAAACAATACAAAAAACTAGCCGGGCGAGGTGGCGGCGCCTGTAGTCCCAGCTACTCGGGAGGCTGAGCAGAGAATGGCGTGAACCCGGGAGGTGGAGCTTGCAGTGAGCCTGAGATCCGGCCACTGCACTCCAGCCTGGGTGACAGAGCGAGACTCCGTCTCAAAAAAAAAAAAAAATAAAATAAATAAAAATGAACTTTATCTTTATTTTATATATTTTTTGGAGACAGGATCTTGCTCTGTTGCCCAGGCTAGAGTGCCATGCATGATCACAGCTCACTGCACGCCTCACCTTTCTGGGCTCATAGTGATGCTCCCTTCTCAACTATCCCAAGTAGCTGGGACTACAGGTGCATGCCACCATGCCTGGCTAATTTGTTTTATTTTTTTATTTTTAGTATAGAGGAGTTCTTGCTATGTTGCCCAGGCTGGTTTCAAACTCCTAAGTGCAAACGGTCCTTCTGCTCAATCCCCCAAAGTGCAGTGATTACCAGTGAGAGCCATTGCACCCAACTTAAAAACGCGAAACTTAGAATTAGCGATCATCCATGAAAAATCCTGTTGGTATTTTTAACTGGGGCTGTGTTTAAATTTGTAGCTAAATTGGGAATAAAAGCTAGAATATTTATGATGTTAAATCTTCCTCTCTAAGGACAGTATATACCTTCCGTTCATTCAGACAGTCTGTGTTCTCTTCATATTGGTTGTGCATATGTTTCTTGCAGAGTTTATTCTCAAGTGTCTTATCACTCTGTTTTTGTCAATGGGATCATTAATCTTCTAACCATGTATGAAGGCTGTATGCTCATCCAAAAATCTGGGCCTCTGTTATTAGAGAATATGAAAAGAACGGACATTGGAACAGTCAGATTTCCCTGTCCTAACCTTCTCCTTTCCAACTTTTATCTGACTTTCTCCTAATGCTCGCTAATCTTGCAGCACTAATGTCCTGGTGTCTTGGGCTCCCTGTCTGGAGGAGGAGGAGGAAGAGGGGCAAGCCTGGAAAAGGCGGCGGGATGGGGGCCCCAGCCTCAGAGGGGCATTTCTGACGCCTGAGAGGATGTGGGACTTCCATGGGCAATGTGGGAGGAGTGAGAGCTTCTGAAGGAACCTGGCACATGGCACAGTGACCTTGCCTGGCTGGAGTGGAGGATGGGTGTCAGGCAGAAGCAAAGCCAAACTGGGCAGCCGAGGACGTGTCCCACCTGCGCGGCGGAAGCTGTTGCAGCATGGGTTTCCCAGCCCTCATCCCTCCATCCTCACAGCAGCCAATGGCTTCCCAAGCCTCAGCCTCCATCCTCACAGCAGCC